ATCAAACAAAACACAAAAAATACATAAAAATACATAACGTTTGCAAATTGTTTGATCAGCACATCCTTACAATGTCTCACTTCACTACACAAAAGTTAAGAGTTGATGATAGCTGAAGTCAAACAACAAATACTATGCCTCTCATCCCTTATTGTCATTATTTTTTCAGACAATTCATATGTATTGAGATGAGAGACGACTTCATCACTAATGCAACTCAAGTACTGATTGTCAGTAAAGAAGTCCATCTCTGACTCTACGAAACGCCATTACATACAATCTTATATATATCACAGTAAGTAAAGAGAGAGAGAGAGAGAGAGAGAGAGAGAGAGAGAGAGAGAGAGAGAGACTAAAACACTATCATTAAATATATTTGACTTTTTTGTATACTGTATATGTTTTACTAAAATATATAACCTTACAACATATAATTTATATAATAAACATAATACTATATAGTATTACTATTATAATACTACTGTGTATTTTGATAATAATAATAATAATGATATTTTCTATCATCAAAATACTGTATATACTTCAGTCATTAGTTATATAAAAAATATTTTTTAAAGGTAATGGATTAATAAAAGTCAGAATATTTTCAGAAATATAAATATATATATATATATATACTGTATATTATGAAATATAATATTAATATATAAATAGTATATAAAAGAAAATTGGTTCTCTAGTATCGATTGGTCAAAGAGATGGCAATTGAGTGAAAATATGCCACAAATCTAGAGATAACTTCCGGAAGAATCGATCAAATAAATACTTTTAACACTGAAAATAGCGATTCCTATAGGAAATGGAATACACGGCTTCCGGTATCGCCTTTATATGCCATTAGAGAGAGAGAGAGAGAGAGAGAGAGAAAGCGAGAGAGAGAGTCAGTCATGGGTTGGTATCGGTCATCGGTATTACACATTATTGATCATAACAACAACAACAACACTGGGATTGCCAAGTAGTTGTAGTCTACTGTAAATTACAACATTCATATTTATAATGGACTGATAGTACAGCGATTTTGTGTGTACCGTTAGTGTACATACAATTATCCGATATATATAACAAACAAATTTTATATTTACAAAAATTGTTGTGTTATTAAAAATAAATTACTAATAAATGGTAATATATAGTTGAGACTTTGAATACTAATAATATTTACTTGAATTTTATTATTAATAAAATTGTTGTATTAATTTTTTTTATATATTTAATATTATATTATTGACATTATAACTGAATTATAATATAAAACAGTTGTATGTATTTATTTGGATAATAATTTAATAAACCGATGGTGTGGTCATTTTGGATGGTAGTGCCAGTAGGCAACTGTACTCTCTCTCTCTCTCTCTCTCTCTCTCTCTCTCTCTCTCTCTCTCTCTCTCTCTCTCTCTCTCTTTCTTTCTTTCTTTCTTTCTTTCTTTCTCTCTGTTTAAATGTTTGTCCACTCAGTCATTCGTGTGTCTCTGTATTATTCATTTCACTATCTCTTTGAGAGTGAAAAAACAACAATTCATTGCTATATTAAATGCAATGAAGGGCTGAATCGACAGTTTTTTTTGCTCTTCAACTGAAAGCAATGTATTAAACTCTTTGGTAGAGAATTGGATAAAAATTTAGGAAAATGTATAAAAGATTGATAGATAGATAAACAGATAGAAAGTAAAAGTATTATAACATAGATTATAAGTCTTGTATATGAATTTATATATATATATATATATACATCTATTTATCTATCTATAAGTCATACTTATGTTTACATAAGTTATTATAGAAGTGAACTAAAAGGCAAATGAATCAGAAAAAGTATAGATAAATAAACATTCAATTCATTTACAATTCGTTAATAATGAATAAACTTTGTGTGAATAAACTATTTTAAGCAACAAAAATAAGTAAAAACTATGATTATTATTATTACACAACGAATTTAACACTTAATTTTAATTTTATAAAAAAGTAAAATATTTACAATAATAAAAACCGTTTCGACACATAATTTTTAGACATAAATGTTTTAAGTAAATTAGTTTGCAGTTAAATATAAAGTTTATATTATAAACACATACATACATTCAATATTTTTATATTATGTATTACATTCACATTTTATTTCTATCAATTGATTCAATATATTTTGATGAATAGCTAAAAACTACATTAATGATAGGCTAGGAATAGCAATATTGTAGATAAATATATAGACAAACAATTTCTTTTTTATATAGTTTTTTTGGTGGTGCTATATATTGTGTGTGCATTATATGTATATGTATATATATATATACTGTATATATATTTTTTATTATATTTTATATTTATGTTTGAAAACATTTTCATTTCAATTCAATTTTTTTTGCTGTTATTATTATTATTTTTCTATTTTATGTATATAGAAATTTATGTACACTAGAAATATTGAATATAACAAAAAAAAGTGCATAAAATAAGAACTTTGTTAAGAATTTTTTTTTAGTTATTCATTCAAATACAATATGCAGTTAGTATTATATAATATAAAGATATATTGTATTTATAATACAATATTTATATATATATTGAAACATTGCACTCATTTTGTTGTTGATAATTCTCTCAATCAATGGGAGGGCAATGAAACAAACAAAAAATAAATGATAAGAAAATTTTGTTTCAAACTAAACAAAATTTTTTAGATAATTTTTTTAAAAATAATATAAAATTATGTATATAACAAAAAATTTAGTTACATTTTATTTATATTTTTGTTGGTTACCGTACTGTAAGTTTAATATATGAGAGATAAACCTTAAGAAAAAATATGTTTTCTTTTAGCCAATCTGTCATTATTGATATGCTGTGTCTATATTTTACTATATATTTTATTCAATAAATATAATATATATCATTTGTAACTAACTATCAATATATATATATACCGTATATTTAATCAATAAACAGACAATTGTATAGTTGATACACCTAATGAAGGGTACTGTAGTTGGGTCGGGTGTACGTAAACAAAACTAAAGGCCTGAGCGCTGTATAAATGGCAAAATAAATATATAATTTTATGTCTGATTGTATTCACAATCACTCCACACAATAGATGATTGGCATCACTGGGCTCTCCTCTGTGTTGTGATTATGTTAAAGCAAATCATTTCAAAAACAAAAAACAAAACAAATGATTACAATAATTTTTCGGAAATATGTATGACTTTTACTATAATGCCATTTTGTATAATACAAAATATTACTGTTTATAAATATTTTTTTGTAATATAAACTTTTATTATTAAACATAAATTTAGCCTAAATAATTAACTGATTATAATTTAAAATAAATTAAAAATTTCATTTAATTATTCCAACAATTATGCATTATATACATGTAAATTACACTACTATTAATAGTATACAAAATTGAATGCAATACATCTAAGATTCATAGTATTGGAAAGTTTAAATGATAATATTAATATATTAAACGGCTATTACTGTATTATGAAATGGCATTATATAAACAGTCCAATGACTTGTTTTAGACCCAAAAATATATATACCATTTGTGTTGTCTATGTTTTTTTTCGTTATATATTTATGTCTAACAATATATATATACAAATGGATTGTAAATAATAATAATAAAAAGGCGACCAAATGATGATAGCATATAATAGTTATAGTAATGGCAATTGCACTGCAATTTCCATACACCCAGTGCTGACATATCCGAAATATTTTTTTTAGTGAATATCATTGTATATACAAATAAAAAAGAGTAGATGAGAGTGGAGAGAGAGAGAAAAAAAATATATATGATTTGTCTGATATTAGGGATGAGCTCTGTTTAGGGGCACTGAGATCCGAATCCCATTTGGTAAATGGCATTTTAGTGGCCCATCAATGGGACATCAATTGTTGCAAATAGCCCGTGACTTATTAGTATCTGTGTGCCCCCAATCATCATATAATCACTGCATTTTCTCTCATTTAGTTTAGTGTTTTATTAATGTAAGTAAAGTCTTATCGTTAGTACTCAATCAAAGTAATTGTTTAGCTGACTCTCTCTCTCTCTCCAAAAATACAACTGGCCTATCCATTAGCATGAGTTCCCCCCTATCCACTCAACGTTAATCCTTATTAAAAAATATTTCCTATATTACTGAATCAGTAATACTGATATAAACCAGACTGTTTGCCAATTGTTTGCATTAAATTCACAAAATAAATGTTTATTTTAAACCTTATGTCATTGGGTCGGCATTATTATTATGTATGTACAGTATGTTTGATAACTCATTTATTTTTTTCAAATACCAAAACTAAACATTTAACAATTAATTATTAAAACTAATTTATTAAATAGACAAAATATAACACAAAATAATGTTTGGTCATAAAATTTTTATAATACACAAATACATATTATACTCAGAAAATGAAAATAAAATATAAAAAATTAATAAATCCTTTCAATTAGTCGGACATTAATAGCATAACTGGTAATCTTGTAATTGCTAATGGATTTAATTAATATAAATGTTTGCCAACTATAATGTGATTTCAGTGTACAATACACCAGAATACTATGAGTAGACAAACAATGGTTGATATACAGTATAATAATAGATATATACTGTATATATAAGGATCTATACCATCAATACTAATGCGGCACGACTTAAGCCAAACTTGATTACCAACCGATTCAATGCAATGGCTAAACATTTTGACACAAAAACTTAGCAAATAGTTAGTCACTCATATTGTTATGTATCCAAAAAGTACTGTATTTCATATACAGTACTATTTTACTGATTAACTCCTAATATTCAGTACCATATATAAAGCATTAGTAATAATTGACATTAAATCATAGATTGCACACATATTAAGTCATATTAGATATAAATCATATTATAGACGCGCCGGTATTTATAATAATAAAAAAACATATGTAATAATGGAAAGTCATAATAGCTTACCTCCCCTCAAGTGAACACTCCTCGATGCTATTGTGCCGATGGAATTGGATGCGATGCACCTGACCGTACAGTGATTAACAATTAGTTTTATTGTATCAAACAATTTGATTTATAAAGCATATGTGGTTTTTTATATATTATAGAAACAGTATAATATATTCATTTAATATATATAGATATTATTACAATATATTTTAAATGAATATATCACTAATACTATCGCATTAATGGCCAAGAATTTTAATCAATGTATTAAAACTGACAAAATTATGATTGAAATGAATGTATGTATGAGAATGACTATCGACTATATCATAATATATGACACTCTTGTCTTATACCATAGTTGTACTAATACTTAAAAAATAGTAGTGGAAGTACTTAAAAAAGTGCATTCATGCAAATCATATCGGATTTGAGAGACAGTATACACCAGCAATAAGACAGTGAATTTTTGTTCAGACAATATCATACTATTCATACAATTCATTCACTATTGTTATGTTTATCAGGAATATTCCTGTTCTTCTCTCTTTCTCTTAAATCTCTTTTACAACCTCTCTCTCTCTCTCTTTCTCTCTTTCTTTCTCTCTCTTTCTCTCAACTCTATCTCCCTGTGCTGTTGTCATCATATGTTATAGAGGAATGTTGTTGGCCTCAAAAGAGAGGTACTATAATCAAGAATAATGAAGTGAAAGACACCAACAGTTAATCTTTTATTGTTTAATTACCAGCAATTGCTTTCACAAAAATGATAATCATTGTCACTGTGTTTTTTGGTTAATTTGCTTAAATCTCTATTGCATTGCACTTTATTTTGCATTGCTATGTGTATTGTAATGTGTATGTGTATGTATGTGAACAATAAAAATCCTAAAAATATTATTAGAAACCTTAACAATAAGTCTCTCAATGTTTCAATTGTGCTTAAATAAATCCCTAATAATGTTAAAATAGTGTTAATTTGTTTAATGTTAAATAATTTTATCTAAATTTGTAAACTTCTTTATTGTACTATATATTTCTACAGCATATACTGTAAATATTATTACTGTAATTTAATAAATTAAAAACATTATTTTCATATACTTTTATAACATATATTATATTTATACAGTACATTGCTAAATAAACTATTTACTACAGTATTAGCTTATATAAAATAAATTATTACATGAGTGTCACGAAAATTAAATAATATCATATTATACTGTATACATACTGTACAAATACATATAATATTTATTTTTTCTAAGCTTATATTTAAGTTGCTGATTTCATAAATTGCAATTGTATATTAAACAACATGTAATGTGATATAATATCTAATTTGCAAATGAGTTTGTACTGTATTTTTAGTGTTAATAATACCAGTTGTATGTCATCTACGAGAGAGAGAGAGAGAGAGAGAGAGAGAGAGAGAGAGAGAGAGAAAGAGAAAAAGAGAGAAAGAAAGAGAGAAAGAGAGAGAGAGAGAGAGAAAGAAAGAAAGAAAGAGAGAGAGAGAGAGAGAGAGAGAGAGAAAGAGAGAAAGAGAGAGAGAGAGAGAGAAAAAAAAAAGAAAGAGAGAGAGAGAGAGAGAGAGAGAGATAAAGATCCGACTAAAAATATAATGTTATATCACATCACATGTCACTGTACTCTATATGAGTATATAATATATGATATTTTTCTTCAATGCAAACATTACTTGAGATTCTTCTTTTTTTTGTAAACACGCGACACAACAAACTATTGTGTGATTTGTAATCATATCTCTTAGATATGATATAGCATTATATGTCTAAATATAATGTAACAAAAATTATATGAGAAATAAAAAACACATACAGTTTTTTATATTTATAACAAACAATAGACTAATATCTTATATTGTATGAGAAGGTATATTAAATTTACTGCTATTATTTCTAATGTAAATTTTGCTAAGTTTAAGCATAATAAACGTTTTGCATATTATTATTATTAGATGCTATAAAAAAGTAACCAAAAATATAATCAGTGTAAACTATATATATATATATATATATATATATATATATATATATATATTAAATATATTATTCACACACAAAATAACTAATTAGTTTTACGGATCAAATATTATGAATAATTCAAATACACAAAATTTTAACATCAGATTTACATGCATTTAATACATGTCGGCATAAATTGTAGGCTTAACTATAGCTATATATTATTGTATATAAATTTATATAATAAAGACATGAAAGAGACAGGAGTGCAAATGTTATCGGATTTGTATCCATGTATTTATATAGATTTATACTTAGACACACACACACACACACACACACACACACACACACACACACACACACACACACACACACACACACACACACACACACACACACACACACACACACACACACACACACACACAGATACACACATACACACAATACACATGTGAGTGAATCTAGTTTATCATCTCAACAATCATCGGGTTGTATGAGTAGTGGTAGTTATAGTAGTAGTATAGCTAATAATAACATAAGCCATATAATAGAGACCTGTATCGCGTCGAGTGTATGTCTGGTCGATAATCCTCTGGTCTAAAGGGAGGAAAGACAAGACTGCCGTCCACTCTAACCATTCTGAGTCCTGCGACATCAGTAATGGTTTGGCCGTTATCTACTGATTCCCATTTGATTACAGGCGACGGTACGCCACGTGCAGCGCACGGGATGACCACACCCGTCGAGTTGGCAAAGGATACGGCATTTGGCGGTTCAAATGTAAACTCCGGTCCACTTCTTGTGTTTTCGGCCGCCAATACATCACAGTTTTGACCTAAAAAATAATTAGATAAATAAATACAGATATCCGTTAAAAGACATTTGATAACATTAAACAAATTATTTGTCATATTGTTTGATAGCATTAGTTTTGAATAGACTATTAATATGATATTCAACAACAAAAACAACAATATAAAACATGAGATAATTTAATATATATTTGTTGTAAAGCAATGCTGTGATAAAAGCATATAAATTACAGCATAAATAAAGGCCACGAAAATTGTTTTACTATTTTAACTGAATTTTTAGTTTCAAATAAAATAAAAAGTCTTTTCTTTTCAGTTTTATTTCCCATTCTCTCTCTCTCTCTCTCTCTCTCTCTCTCTCTCTCTCTCTCTCTTTCGTATGTAGTATGTATTTGTTTTGTGTGTTTTTATTTTTGCTGAATATATGTAATATATATGTATAATGTATTTATACAGTACTTTTACTGTATATTTATTCATTTACTAAAATCGCATTTTCTCTCATCAATGAGACAATGAGATGATGGGCTGTATTGTTGTGCAAAAAAGATTGGGAACAGTAGGCAAACATTATGTATTGTATATGAGCCCAGACAGTAAAGGGACTGACAATAACTTTTTTGATGGAAATGCTTGTGGAGAACAATCGGTGAAAAACATACATACATTATATATAATAGGAAGGAAAGGCTATGTTAAGGAATTACATGTATGCGCTGTATATTATAATGTATAGTATATGTTGTATGATGTGATGACTGTATATATAAATCATATATAAATAGAGTATTACTAATGGTTGCGACAAACAATTCATTAAATTCATCCAAAAAATAAATAAAATAAGTATATGAGCTCCAAATGGATACCAAACTGAACAGTTAGAAAACAACTACAATAAGGACTAAAACAACAACAAAAACAACAAACTTTACTGCACATTCATTTGAGTGGTTATACATTTCAAGAAAAAATATAAAGAGAGAGAGAGAGAGAGAGAGAGAGAGAGAGAGAGAGAGAGAGAGAGAGAGATCTGTTATACTAATGGTAGGCATCCATTGCCCTAAAAGAATTGATAACATTGAAGAATAAGTGACTGAAAGAGGAAAGACAAGCGACTAAATAAAGAAGTGATCGACCCATCAGTACAGTAGTTTCTAGTGTGGATATGTGTGCACTCGTAGGCTATATATATTGAGAGCATAGTTAGTGCTTTATATGGATATGTTTAGAAGGGCATTAGCACAATGATGGAGAGCCACCACCACATCAACAACCGACTCGTCCATCCCATTGACTATCACTATCATAGTATATATATATAATACCCATTATAGTGGATCTCCTTTTTCTGTCACTCAATAGCAAAGAGAGAGAGAGAGAGAAAGAAAGAAAGAGAGAGAGAGAGAGAGAGAGACCCAACCATTTCCAGAGATTAGTTAAACCTTTTAACTTTCGTATAGACTGTAAGCTAAGCTTTTTAAGTAAAATGTTTAGACAATGGCATACAATGAACTGTAATGTTGAAAATGTTTTTAATGGCCATCTAATTGTTAAACACCAGTGAGAACTAAATAATCCATTTCATGCATCAATTAATGGGTAATATTGATAGCTATTTATATCAATAATATAATGCAATTTCATATGTGACTGATGGTAGACAATAAATCAGTAAATAGTATTGAAAAATATATTTACGATAATAAAATTATTTATATAGAAAATTATATTAATAAGATAAACATATACATTATTTACAATGTTTTTTTAATACATATAATTAATAGAAAGTTATTTATTGTATGTTTACAATTAATGGCACTGTTGTCTGGAAAAGTGCATTAATTTGAGTGACATTCCTATCATAGATTGTATGCATAGCTGTGGATAAAATGAATTAATTGTTAGGAAATGTCAGTCTCTCTAAAACTTTAACATCAAATACATTATATTAAAGAGAGAGAAGAAGAAGAAGATAGAGAGTGGCTTTTCTGATGATATGGTAGTCAACATCAAAAGTCAAATGCAAGCAAAGCACAGGGATCTATGAGAGAGAGAGAGAGAGAGAGAGAGAGAGAGAGAGAGAGAGAGAGAGAGAGAGAGAGAGAGAGAGAGAGAGAGAGAGAGCAAATAGCTATCTAAACTAGTGTATACACAATACAATGCATCATCTTTTTGGTGATGAGAGCTCAGGGAGGGCTCGCATGAGTGAGCAAATGACCGAAATAAGCATATATTGCTCTACTATGCGATGAGCGACCCATCCTTTAGGTTTGTTCGCTGGACCGTTGCCTACGACCAGTCATACCATACACTACTCATTGAGTGAGTGAGTGTTTGGCCGTACAGATGATGATGTGTTGAATAGTTTAGGCCATAAAACGCTAATGTTTTCAAAACACTGTATTTTCTCACTTATTATTATTATTATTATTATTATTATTATTATTATTACTTAAACTACAAGACTATATGACTATTAGTATGAAAATTTTGAAACAAAAATTTATACAATTTTAAAAAATATTATTTTTAATTTTTTTCTCTCTCTTTTCTCTTTGTTGTTTAATTTATTCAACAATAAAATCCTATTTATATAATTTATTTTATTAGATACTATAGTTTTCATTTTTTAATAGACAAATGTTTTATGCATATTATTTTGGTAGTTAAACAAATAGAAAAATTATCATATTTATATAAAAATTTTATATTATTATTTAATATATTATTTAATTTTAATATCATTTATTATAATAGTTTGTTTACATTTTAAAAATACCATATTATGTAATTCCCATAAACGAGAAAAATATAGTTTTGTTTAATTAAATTAATTGCTATAAACATACATAAACTCTCTAATTATTTGTTCAAAAAATTTATACATAATTTTTACTTAATATTTATAACCATTTTGTGTTTATATAAATTTCTAACTCATTTGCTATTTATCTGTCAACTATATGTTTAACATTTAAATTCAATGTTACATATATAATGATTGATATTTGAAATAAACAAACTAATTGTATATTATATTTATGTGATGAGCGTTTAGCCGCAAATGGGAGGATAGGATGGGATGAATATATATATATATATATATATATATATATATATATATATAGAGAGAGAGAGAGAGAGAGAGAGAGAGAGAGAGAGACTGTAGTCATTTGAATGTTAAAACTAATGGCAACAATAATAGTCATAATTAGGCAAATATTGTATGTTTTGTTAGACTTTCAACATTTAAAAAAATGCAAAAATAAACTTATGTCACGATATATGAGACACACATTTTTGTTGCCTCTTTTTTAAATTCAATATAAATTTATTTTATCCATTAGTTCAGTTTAAGCTATTTATACAAATATATACTGTTCTGTACTTTTATATATATAATTGTAATGTCAGTATATACAGTATAAGCATAACATATGAGACCAAACCAAACATGGCTTGTATTGTAAATTGTGAGTGTTTTGTGTGTATGTTATGTATTATGTAATCGTGAAATAGTAAAAACAATGAAAAGCTCCGAAAAACAAGTGATTAATTACAGCCTTAAGAAATGGCAAATGCAAACCATTAGATCTCTCTCTCTCTCTCTCTCTCTCTCTCTCTCTCTCTCTCTCTCTCTCTCTCTCTCTCTCTCTCTCTCTCTTTCTTTTTTTCCTCTCTCTTATATTGAGTGATATAAAACTGTTGTAATTTATTAGTATATTTTCTCTTGCAGTTTATATAAAATTATATATCTTTTTATTCAATAATTTATTGAGATATATTATAACTTATAAGACACACGTGTTCAAACAGTTAGGTCATAAATATCATTGCAATATTTAAATATACATTTTTAGAAAAAAACTGTAATAATTTTCAAATGTCTGACTTTAAATCCGATTATATTATTTGGGCTAAAAATTTTTAGGGATTTTCTTATCAAATAAATTGTTTGTCATTAATCTAGTTATCGACGACTAACTCTCATATTAGACATAAGTCTTTTTTCTGCATTTTTTTGCTGTATTAATGACTAAACAGCTGTTATAGTAAAATGATTTTTAATGATAATGGCGTCAGATTTTTTCAAATTAAATATCCTAACCTATGTATATTAGACATATAATTATATATATATATATATATATATATATATATATATATATATATACATGAAAGTAGTAATACTTTATATATAATATTGATTTTTTCTATTGATTTTAATAAAGTAGTCTACTTTTAATTTATGTTTATATAATAGAATAAATAATAATAAAAATAAATTTTTATATATGTATAGCTTTAATATACATAAATAATTAACTGTATTTATGCAAAATCAATATTCAACGTATATCTAATATATTAAATGTAAAATATTAAATAAACAAAATAAAAATAAATTTTGCAAAGAAAAATCAATTATTGTAATTATAACAGTTATATAAATTTAATATAACATTATTATTATTAATGATTATATTTATACAATTGTTATTAGTTTACGATATTATAATTATTTTATTTAGATTGTTTATGCAATATTAGATTGTAAAAACTAATACAAAAAGCATTATTCAAATATACAGTATATAATTTAAATAAAAATAAGATAATATTTAAAACAATTAACTAGGTAGTTTAAATAATACATTAATATTTACAATTTTTGATTTAGCAGATCTGTACACAATTGATAAAAGAATTAATATTAAATAACATTTTTTTTAAATGTAACAAAAATAGTTATAATTCATAAAAAAAATTATTTTAAGTTTCGTCTGACTTATATTTATCCATAGTATAAGAGAGGAAATATTTATACACATAATACAAGTATTTTTTGAAAATCAATTTCACAATTGAATGAATAAATCTCACGAATAAGTTTAGAAAATACATTATTTCTTAAGGATTCAAATCAAATACTAAGAAAAGAGTAAGAATTATATATATATATTATTTTCTGAAACGATTCAGATATTTATTGAATGTCTGAGAGATTTAAATTTCAAGTTTTAATCTGAAAAATAGAGAGAGAGAGAGAGAGAGAGAGAGAGAGAGAGAGAGAGAGAGAGAGAGAGAGAGAGAGAGAAGATTGCAACTATTAATACCAATATATTATTATACATACGTTTTTTTATAACTGTCACGAAAATTAGTTTCAATAGTGAAGTCGGAAATTCAATAAAATAGAAAATTAAACGAAAAAAAACTAAAGTATTTTTTTTACTACAAATGATTGAGTCATTAAATACAACTGAGAAACACAAGTAACTAAAGTAATAAAAATTATAATAATGATAATAATAGAAAATTTTAAGTTATACAGTATAACAAAGAAATTTATGCTTAAATATTATTACATCAATTGCTTAAAATAAAACAACTATAAGTTATTAGAAAAATTTGTAAAATACTTACCAAAATGTATGGCTATTATAATTGAGATAATAATCATTTGAGTCAAATATTCACAATTCATGTCATTATTCATTTCATATATATCTATATAAAATTGCCGTAACTTTCATTTGATTTTTAGTATTATTATTATTATTGTAACTATTTTTGCAAATTTACTATAATATAATGTAAATACATATAAATTATTTATAAAAAACAAAATACTTGTTTTTGAAAATTTGTATTATTAATAAAATTACACAATCACTTTTATAAACATTAATCTTTTAACTTATAAAAACCAATTATTTTTAAAGAATTAGTTTGCAATTAATATATATTTTAAAAATATTTTTATACTAGATAAACATAAATTAAATCCAATAGCTTTATTATATTAATATATTCTATGTATTATTATTGATATTATTATTTAGTATTATATTTAAAATATTTAAATTCAAATTAAATAATTTGTTTATCATAACTTTGATATATTTATTAATAATAACTAAATGACAAATAATATCAATCACTATTAGATATAATTAGATATAGTTCACTAAAAAAATTATTAAAATTATTATCAATCACTTTATTAATATATTAATTTTATGATTTGTTTACTTTACAACTGAAATTGTAGTCAATTAAAGCCTAACACACAAACATTAATAAATATTTATATATAAAATTGTCGACAAAAATTAATATCTGAAATAAAAAATCTTTAATTCAGTGATGAGTCTTGAATGTCAAAGACGACACACATTTAGTCAGTCACACAAACATATTATTTAGAGAGAGAAAGAGTATCCCATGTATTACACTCCTGAAGGATGCAAACAACACATGAAGTTTGTGTCAAACAGTCGACCGCACCAACACATGAAGTCCCAGTACTGACAACTCATGTGTGTCTGTCTCTTGACATCGTTTGATAGGAACTGTTGGATAAGGAATGGGCGATCAGTAACAACTGCGCAATGCAACTCTCTTTCAGCTCTCTCTCTCTCTCTCTCTCTCTCTCTCTCTCTCTCTTCATCTAAAAAAGTCTCTACACTTTGCTTTGAAATGTATTGTACAGTTTTTTTGTATGATATTTGTATTTTGTATATAAAAATGTATTTCAATGTATCAAAAGCCAACTAATGATCAACCGATTCAAGTTGTCATACAATAGGTCATACTATAGACCATACACACACACACACATAAAGTATATATACTATTATATAAGTTATAAAATGGTCCGTATATTTCACTTTTGTTCAAAATATATATATATATATACTAAGTGTGTGTGCTATTTCATATACGCCATCCCACACAATACAGACCATTAAAACATAAATTATTATTATTATTTGTTTATATTTATTATATTTTACTATTAAAAATGTTATTTAAAATTTATTGTTTATTAAGTCCAGACTGTTTTTTAAAGTTATTTTAAGGGCAAACTATAATATAATATGACGGACATATAGTCCCCACTTTATGCGAGTGACTCGCTATATGTTATCAATGAGTTTTTTTGTGTGTATCAGTCATTAATAATAATTTTTGTGACAGTCATTGGATTTGATAAGATTGATGTCAATCATATCGCAACACAATCAACCTTAAGCTCAATTACCACCAAAAATGATCATCAATTTTTGTATAGTCTATTATTAATGATTACATTCAATATTATTTGATACAATATTAGATGTAATAGTATGTGTATTTAATAAATTAATTTAATATTCTCAGATATAACTAGATATTAAAAACAATTTCTGTATCAAATAAATTGCTTTTTTAAAAAAAATAATAAACAAATAAAACATATTTATAAAAAAATAGATTTATTGTTCAAATGAAATATTATGTTATATACAATAAAATTTATTGTTTTATATCTATAATAAATTTTAATATAATATTTTTCAATAATGATTTTATTTTTATAATTAATGATAAAAATCTATAATTTAATTTATTGCTTTTATATATATAGCTAATGTTTTATTGTTTCAAAATAAACAACTATATTATTTTTAAAGTAAATTAGGTTAATTAAAAATTTTAGCAAATAAATCACAACAAACAAGTAGTTGTGTAAAAACAATATTACAATCTAATAGAAAGTATTAATACATCATTTGTGAAATTCTGGCGATTTTATAATAAAATAAAATTTAATTAAAATATATTTATTTTAATTTTTCTTTAATTGGATTTTTCTTTAATTACATACTTATTTAGTATTAGGTATTTAAATATAGTGAGAATTAAAATTTCAAAAAGTTATTTTTAAATTTAGACATTAATTTCAATGCCGGAAACATTGACATTACACTTTGAAAAAGTTTTTAACCAATATATAAATTTATATTCAAACAGTACGAGGAAATAAAATATTTTTATAAACATTACATGTTAAATGTTATGTTATATTTGTTATATATGCTATATACTAGTATATATATAGTAAGATATGTTTAATATAAGCATATGGTTTACATGTTATTAGCGTTTAAAACTAATAATGAGAAACCAGAAAAACTGGATAATTATTATAGACAGTAATAATTGAATTATTTCGTGTAACTTATGACCAAATTATACTCCAGAATATTATATTAAAAAATACTTAATGTAATAAAAACATATATATACAGAATATTCATATAGTTTTATGCAAAGAGTGGCAAAAAATAGTAATTTCATATCTAATGATTTGAATAATCTTTTTTTTTGAGTCATTATTGGACATTAATTTTCAAGAATTACTGAAAGCAATAATAATTAGATAATATATTATCGGCACTAAAAAAATATATTACAGATATCATTATAACATATTTAAATATTATATTTAAAAATATATTTAGAATAATATAATTTACAAATTATTTTTCTTGTTAATAAAGATTGTTTTTTTAGTTTCGTGCAATAATTTTAAATTTAATATATATTATTTAAAAATCATTGATTTATAATAACAAATAATATTAATATATTTATTTTTAGTAACATACAGTTGTAAGTTAGAAAATTATACATTAATATAATAATTTATACTGTATTAGAGTATGTACTTATATTACATAATTCATAAATATGTATAGTATATTATAACTATATGAAAAAAAACAAATATGAAAATAATTTATATTATAAAACTAAAAGCGGATTAAACACATAATAACTTGTTTAATGAATGCACTCTTAAATAACTTATGTTATAAACAGTGTGTCCCCTAAATGAATACATACTATGAGAGTGTTAATGCAGTAATTTATTGGGTTTTAGTATTAAAAAAATAAAATCATAAATTTAATTTATTTGCTTCACTTGAATAGCACACACACACACATACACACTGTATATAAAATATAATGAATATATAAATAGAGTATTGTTATAAAATAAATGTGGCAAATATAGCAATTTTAATTAAATAAATAAATTTTTATTTATTGTTAATTAATTAATTTAAATGCAATTATATTTTTCTAATTTATATTAGTTATAGTACATTGTTGCTATTATTTATAAATGTATATTAACTAATATTTTTATTTATTAATACGGATTATAAAAATACTGTGGTTAAAAATACAAATTAAGCCAAATAAAATAAATATTTAATAATTAAAATGTATTGAAATACATAACTATATTTTTTATTTATTTAAGTAAAATTAATTTAAAATTAAACAATTGTTTTATAAGTTATTACAATAGCATATTATTTGTTTATTGTTATTATATTATATTTATAAAATTTTATTATTTATTTAATATCTAATATTATATATAACAACTTAATTTTAGATTATCATTTTGTAAAAACTATAGAAATCTATAATAAATAATTTCTGTTAGTTAAACACTGCATGTAATAATTTATACTGTATAACAAATATATTAAATAACTAAAAATATACAATAAATGTTAGTATTATTGTATTGTAATATTATTAAAAGTTACTTTTCAAAAATTGTATTGTTTTTATTATGGGGTATAAAAAGATTATTTTGTAACTAATGTTTCATTGCTGTTATGAAATTAGTGTTAATAATAGTAAATATTATATATAAGTTGTATAAATTTCACTCTAGTTTTTTTTTATATATCTGTGATACACATATGATACACACTTTTTATTTATATCCACCAAATTTAGGTGTGTGTGTGTGTGTGTGTGTATGTGTTTTTGTTTTTGCTCTCAACAAATAAAATCCAAAATTATGGCCCAAAAAACTTAATATCTCTTATGACACATTGTATATAGAAAATAACTATACACTCAATAATATAAAAAAAAGCTAAATTAATATGATTTTATTATATAACTCCAACATATTGTGTGAGCTATTAATAGCAATATGTTGTAATATACTGTATATTATATACAATAACATTGCTTTTCTAGTAAATCCATTTACTATTTTTGAAATAATATCAATTATTGTTTATTATAAAATAGATTTAAATTTAGTGTTATTGTTTTTTTTAAAAATTTAATAAATTTGAATACATAGTGTAATTTCAAAGTTATTTTTTGAAATTTATATAACTTATATAATTATTGACAAAATTCAAATAATTTCTAACAAAAAAGTATCGAAGATAAGCATTTTATTAAATTATATATTACTTCGTTAATTATAAATAATTTATAAATATATAAATTAAAATAATTTTTGAATTTTAATAAATAAAATTGTTAATTTACATTATAATTGTTATATTAATTTAATATTTAGTCATCTAATTCAATAATATTAGACATATATAGTATCAGTATATATTTATATTATATAATATATATAAGATATATAAGCGATATAAGTGTCAAATAAAATATGGCATTAAATACAATACCAAATGCAATCATACACTACACACACACGGCTAAGAAAATCAATGCTATCTAAAGGTCGGTTGGCTTCTCATATGAAAAATAGTGTATTATTTTTTCCTGAAGAGCCACTGATAACACATTTAAGTACTTGTAGTTTGCTGTGTGTGTGTAGTGTCTTATATTACATCTTATATACAAAAACAGAGAGTGAGGGTAAGTGAGTGAGTG